CTCGCTCTGTAGACCAGGCTGGCCTCGAACTCACAGAGATCTGCCTGTCTCTGCTTCCCGAGTGCTGGGATTAAAGGTGTGCGCCACCACTGCCTGGCTTGCTGAGGCATTTTCAATGATCGTGCTGAGGCTCAGTCAATTGAAGTATAAGGAATTGAAAATTACTGTGTCACAAAATCAGTCCAAGGGATAGCAACTTAAAATAAATGTTAGTAATAACATATGATTGTAGGTCCAAAATTGGAAGAGAGTGCAAATTGGAAGATGCTTCTGCACGTATGCCAGATTTTCATTTCAGCATAACCATTGCTGTAATATCCTCCCACTAACTTTTTCATGCGAAGTGCTATAATCCCACGCAGTCCACATGATGCTCTGTGCTATTAAGTGAAGTGACAGAAAACCAAGCCAGAGAACAGCAGGGTGATAGCTCCCAGTGACTTGGAATCCATACCTAGAAAACAAATGGTCCACACACATACATCACACAACGCAGAAGTCGGAAGCAAAGTGTCAAGGCGTTGATAAACGGCGGAGTTCACGATGCGGTTTTATTATCAGTGGGCTGGCGTTTCAACGGAAGTCTATGCAAAATGATTGCTGCAGGATGTCACGGACTTGGGGGTGTTTTATAGTCTGTGGGTTATAGCATGCTCAGTTTCTCTGGAAGAGTTTAAGTTTCAAAAGATACAAATAGAAATGTGCATTGATGAGTATAGGGGGAAAAGATGTTATTAAGGCTACTGGACAGGTGGAAGCAATTGCCATGCAGGCAAAAAGAAAAATGCTTGAAACAGTTCAGAGTAACAGCAGGGTTATGGACCTCTCTTGAGTTTCAGAAGACCTAACAGATCTGGCTGTGCCCAAGCCTGCAAAGTCTGAAGTTCAAGGAAATTAATTCCATGTATAGCAAAGCCATCTCTCTCTCATAATTTTCTAACCAATGAACATTGCGTGGGAAATTGGTTCCATATGGTTTCAAGTCATTTATGCAACTTGAATAATTAAAATATTCGTTGGTAAGAGCCGCCTGGTGTCTTTAAAGTCAGGAAATTATCTTATGCCAAAAGTAGACAAACTCAAAAACCCAAAGGTCAAGTTAAGTTTGAAATTTCACATTCCAAAATGTAATTATCCTAACAAAAATTGCTCGATATTCTCCTCTTATCACAGAGTAGAGAAATGAAAAACCCCATTATTCTTGTACAGGGTTATTTATTCATTTTCATACTTGAAAAGAGGTTGCTTATATATCTTTCTTTTGCTAAATCTACAGCTGAGTATTATTGGAGAAGAGCCTAGGGTAGCAATGACATTTTCAATAAAATCCTGTCAGCTGCTTTTAGAATAATAAATACATTTTGTTTCAATATATCTAAATATTTCTACTAGGAGTTGGAATTGTAATTCCCATTTTGTAGATTTATGAATCAAGGACTTCATGTCAGGTAGCCTGAGGAAGCATATTCTAACTGGATAGGCTGCCTGTAATACTTTAGACATAGTTACTCTTTGGCAGGCATTAAGGAAATAGACAATAACTTTGGCCCAGTGAAAAACTGTACAAAGCCATGGTTAATCTATTTACTTCTGGAAAGAGAGATTTGAGTAAAATGTGAAAATGAGTAAAATTATAAAGTTGACAGTGTTTCTTGCACATAGATAAATTTGAGCTGAAGACCTGTATTTGAATTCTGATTCCCCCACTTATAGCTAGGTCTATGACTTTGGGTAAATGGCTTGATCCAATTCTCTGCCCCCCCTCCCCCTTTGTCTCTAAAGCACTTCATATACTGGAAAGTCGGGGCTGGGGAGATGGCTTGGTTGCTTCGCTACCATGTGACTCTGAAATATATCACCAGAGTCAATGGAAAAGGAGCTGGTGTGTGGAACTCACTTATTATCCTAATATTGGCGAGGCAGAGACTGGCAGGTCCCTGGGTCCGACCTAGTCCCTCTAAAGAGTTTTAGGACAATATGTGACCTTGTGGCAAAACCAGAAGATGGCTAGTGTTGGAGGAATGATGCTGAAGATTGTCTTCTGGCTTCCCACATGCAGAAGCACACATACAAACTGAAAAGTGCTCCATAAATTAACACTACTGGGAATAATATGGAAATATTGCCACCTATAACGAAACTGGAAATAAATCTATCTTATTATTTATTTTATCTGTTTAATATTAGAGACAACGTTTTCCTCATCCTCATTATGACATACAATTTTACAGAACATGAAGCCATTCTGAAAATTATTTTTAGAATACTACAAAAATCTCGATTTCCCCATCTTTGCGTTGTATTTGGAAAAAAAAAGTAGCCCTTGTTTTGCCTTATTCATTCTAGACTTAAAACCTTTTAAAAATATGTTGGAAAACCAAGGAAGTTGACAAGATGGACAATGTCCTTTCATATACAGAGCTCTTTTAAGAAAAAAAAAAAAGGATGTGGGGGGAGAAAGGAAGAAAAGAAACCATTGGGTTGGAAACAAGCTGATACCTGCCAGGACAATCCATGGCAATCGCCCTTTGCTGTGAATATTGTACTTATGCTATAATTAAAAATGGATTTAAAAGAACTAGGGCAGAGCAATCCTGATCGCTGCTGGCCTTCACCTTTGAGAACAAGAAAGCTCTGGCGCCCTGGCGTTAAGTTTAGCCAGTGGCCCTCAGCTAAACCAAAGCTGTCTAGCCAGGCCTTAGGGTTGAGAGTGCTTTGAGAATAGTTTCCCTCTTAGAGATGTTTCTAGTAAAACAGATGGGGGAAGTTGAATTGTTTTTAACATAGAAATGCCCTGAGTAGCTAAGGAACTCAATGCGTTCTTCCCTTCTCTTAACGTGATTTCTAGAGCATTAAAATGGACAGTTTTGAATATACTGGGTCTTTTATGTGCTTTACTGCCCTTTCAATGTGCTATTTTGCCCACTCAATGGCTACACGACACTGTACAAGGGCCGTGCTAAATCTTATGCCCTTGACACGGACCTTCTTTTCTCTCGTCTGAGGAAGTGCTCCCTTTTCCCCACAGGTGAGATGGCTGCTTCTCTGTTCTTTGCCCTCCCCCCTTCTTCAAAAATACTGAGTTCCATTGTGTTTACCCAGAAACCAGGCTTTGTGGCAATTAAGAGATTCCAAAGAGGCGCAGGCTAACGTACCAGTAGAGCTGGATTCCAGCTTTCCATGGTAACACCCAACTTCCCTTCCTTAACCACCTCCTTCGAGTCACCCAGACGATTCTAATCCTACCTCTGTGGTTACTCTGAAAGCCATCCAGTTTGGTTATCAGAAAGGATCTGTCTTAAGCAAATATTTGCCCGAGTCTCCTTTACTCATTTGGGGGAGAGAGCAAAGGAAGGGCTGGATTCGCTTAATCCCTTTTGATCGCACATTGTGGATGAGAGAGAATGTAGTCAGGGCTACCCGGACTGGGGCCCAACTTGCGAGGAGACTGACACTTCATTGCCGTGGTGATGGACGATTGTAGACCGCAAGGGCCTTGATGGGCTACTCATCACCAGGGTGACTATCACCTCTTCTTGCCACCCAGTACATATCCCTACCTCTGCATGGCAGGAATCCAGGAACATTCCAGGAGGGTTACAACATTTTCTTTTTTACAATAATAGGCCTTACCTTTTTCTTGGTTCCATGAACTCTTTAAATGTCAAAGTGATTCACACGGGAGGAACTGATCCTGCACTCCTCATTGAAAAGCTCAAAGATTCAAGATCTCTCATGAAGTGGAGGGAGGTTATCTTCTGGATGATCGGGCAGTGGGCGTTTACCTTCGGCACACACAGGCCTGCACACATCTGTTGGAGGAAAAGAAAATGAGAATATCCTGTAATGGAAGATTTCCTATAAACCTTAACATTTCTACCCACTTCAGGTACCCTGAATGACTACAAAGGCTATCCTAAAGAAACCAAATGTAACTATATTTCCAAAAAATATCAACATGCAAGAGGTTAGTCTTTTATTTGCTTTACATCAAATTCTGAACTAAGTTACCCCTCAACAAAAGACTAGGTCAGAACGAACATATCTGTACACTCTTGCAAAAGAAACACCAGACCTTGACTCCAGAGTAAAAAAACTTACTGAACACTTTAAAATTCACTCAGAACTATTTATTGAATTGCTTTTCTGGTGTATACTAGACCAGAAGCCCATTCCTTCCCTTCTTGACTCTGTCGCACCCACACCTGCCCAGTCAAGGATGGCATACCACTAATGGCTCTTAAAAGCTCTCTTTTAACTGGAATCACCCTCATCTAGTGCCCCATTTTCTCCTCTTCAGAGACCTTGAAACCCATGTTCGTTTTGTCCTCACTTGGACTTGAACTTACTCCAATCAGACTTTTGTTCCTACAGCTCCAATTAAATGATCACTCCTGCCAAAGCCATCAAGAGTCTTCATGGCTAAATGCAGAAACCAGTTCTCCATCCTGCTCTTACTGTTAGTAGCATTTATGACAAATAAGTCTAAAAGTTGCCTGTACTGTAACTGTAGGAATTATTCTAGGACCCCCCAAAGTCTGTCTCCGTTTACCAGGTGATGATCCCCAAATCCACTTCTTCAACCCAGACCTGACACTCATTTGAAGAAAGAATGGATAAGCCAATTAATTTTCTACAGCCCATCTTAGGTGTTCCAACAATAAACTTATTAAATGTGAGGGGAAACACAGCATATGGCTTGACTTTGCTCATTTAACTGCCTTGGGTAACGTTTCCTTGTTAACATTACTGGTAAGACTCTGAAATATGGTTTTATTTTTCAAGTAAAAAAAATTATTGAAGATTGTCAAACACTGAATTTTTTTTTTTTTTTTTTTTTTTTACCCCAGGCTTCAGGAAGGAGAAAGCGGTACCTGAACAGATGTCACGCTGATTCCATGACAAATGTCATCAATGAAAAGAATTCTGTGTGTGCATGCGTGTATGAGTAAGTGTCTGGTGTATGAGCATGAATATTGGAGGAGACCCTCAGGTGTCCTCACTCTAGCCTTATTCCTTCAAGACTGTCTTGAATCTGGAGCTCAGCTGATGGTTAGCAAGCTTTAGTCGTTCTCCATTTCTGCCCCCATGGTGCTGGTGTTACAATTATACATGTGACCACATTCAGCTTTTTGCGTGGGTGCTGGGGATTTGAACCCAGGTCCTCACGATTGTACTTTTATCCACTGAAGTATCTCCACAGCCCCAGAAGACAGAATGAGACTCTGCAGCCTGGGCTATCCAGGAACCCACTACAGATCTAAGATTAACCTTTTACTACATTGATTCCCCTGACTCAGCCTTCTGGGTGCTGGGATTATAGGTGATACCTGTCTTATGAAAGAAGTCATTTTTAAAAAAGGTTTACTTTATAGTGTGTGTGTGTGTGTGTGTGTGTGTGTGTGTGTGTGTGTTTCAGTGAGTGTATGTCACTTGTGCAGGGGTGCCCTCAGAGGGCAGAAGCAGATGTTGGATCTCCTGAGGTCGTGAGTCTCCTGATGTAGATGCTGGAAACTGACCTTGTGTGTCTTTCAGAGGAGCAGAGAGCTTTTCTTAACCACTTCTCCATTTCTCCAGTCCCTGAAAAGAATATTTGACGTCAGTCACTGCCAATAATTAATCTGAATCCCAGTTCTCATGAAACTGCAGTGAGGAAGATACTTCCCTCACATTTACCTTCTGCATAGCCCCTGCTCCTTATGCCTGTGCGTCCTACTTTGGGCTCCGCTCTGAGTTCCTATGATTGGCCTGTATTTTCATGACCGGGAAGCATGATGCCCAGCAGGTTCCTAACCTGTCTGATCCTGTCCCATGCTTGGTAACCAAGTCCTACTTTACTGATTGTGGTCTCTTTAACTCCATGCTTCCTGGTTCTTGACCTTGGCTACAAAGAAGATTATGAAATATTCCTAATAATCTTTATCGAGGAAGCTAGCTTCCTGTAATAAGAGGACCCTGATGGGAAGATTTTAATTTCTGCATGAATGCAGCAGCGGAACCATCAACTAGATTTGCACTGTTTATGTTCTTCCCATGGATATGTGCATGGTTAAACCCACATGAGCTTGTTAAACGGTGTCTCTTAAAAATGGTCCCCTCCCTTTACCATGTGACGTTTACAACCGACCCCGAGTGCCTGGGACTGGCATTGCTAATCCCTGCAGTGAAAAGAATTGTCTTCTGGGTTAAACCGCGTTTATTTCTCAGTTAAGACTGAGTGCTTAGGAAACACATGAGTAAGGATGCAAGGGGACATTGGTAGTTTGTGTTACCCTATGAGTAAAGTATGGAACACTTTACTCATAGGGTAGTGTGGTATGGAAACTACCCTTAAAAACCGTCATATTATTTGCTCTCTCAATAAGCAAGAGGATTAAATAGGAGGAGAAGAGAAGCAGGAAAAAAGAGAAGGGAAGGGGAGGGGAGGAGAAGGATGAGAGGGGAGGGGAGTGACAGGATGGGAAGAGCCGAGGTAGTATTCACACCACGTAAGACCCATCAGTGAAATATTTCACAAAACTAGTTTTGAAAACTTAGCATTCTCCCCCACAGACACAGCTTAATTCTAGGAGGTCTTAGTATTGTATTACATAGTTAAAAAATTAACTTGGATGTGTCATATAGAACATGGAGAGGCTTAAAGGAAGAGAAATTCATTAGACTCCCCAGGACTTTTAATGTGATAAATAAACTACATCAGGCCTTGAGTTTAAGTCTACTTTATGACCGTGTTTTCAAAAGGGTGTGTTTTATTGTGATCAATTTAAAATACTGGGATAGTTATTATTTTCGGACTGATTCTGCCTGCCAGCCAGCCAACACAGCACCTTCTCTTATCTATTTGTGTGTGTGTTTCCATAGAGGAAAAGCCAAGTCCTGTAAATTATCTTATAAGACCTTAGAGTACTTTAGGGACACCACATTTATGATAATTTATAAATATTAATGGCAGGGAGGGCAGAAGAGTTCCGATTCAAAGGGAAAAAGACAAACATTTTTACTTGCATCTCCCAGCAAGATCTCCACGTAACAAAAGCCGTCATTGTCCGGAGCTCTCCTGCATGCCCGTATATCAGAATCCCCAGAGGAGATGCCAGCGTTTGACTCAGCAGAAAGATTGATCCCTGCTGCTGGATCCTCCCCTTTGGAATAACGTTCCAGACGGTTTGTGCTACCACTCCCTCTGCTGAATAAATACATGAATTCGGCTTTAATGATATGTCAATCATTCCTTAATGTGAAATTCCCAGAAATGTATGATAGAAAGTCTTTGACAGTCATTTTACAAGAACCAAGAGTACTTTACGGCTTTCATTCTTGGGAAACACCCCATGTCTAACATTTCACACGCATAGCCCGTGGGGGTCTCGAGCAGGGACAGCGAGGTTGCAAAAGGAAATGTGGTTGGGGAAATATGCACCCCAAAGAGTTCCCATGCTTCTTGCTTTAGGCTTTAAGCATTCATTTGAGATGGCTGACTTAAGCTTCAGGATAAAGAGGAAGTACTGGCATGGTTAGGGTTAGTGCCACCCATCCTGTTCCTGTTAGGGTGGGGCCTTGAAGAAAACTGTAAAATGTAAAAGAATAACTAATAAGCCAAAAATATCTTGTTGTTGTGAATATGTATATGTGTGTATATGTACACCCATGTGTGTATGTATATGCATGCATATATGTATGTATATACACGTATGTGTGTATGCATATGTATATACGTGTGTGTATGTACATGTATGTGTGTATTTGTGTGTGTGTGTGTGTGTGTGTGTGTGTGTGTGTGTGTGTGTGTGTGTGTGTGAAACTAGAGGTGGCTTTGGTAACAGCATTAAGCTACAGATTGTATTGCTAAGTCATTTGACTGGTACTCAGTGAGTTGCCTTTCTATGAATTCTTCCCCTGTCTTGAAATGACTCTTCATAGCTCACATCCAATTTAGAGATGCATACATAGGCTGTGGGTGGGATAATATTAACCACTTGACTCCTCAGGAATGTGGGGACCCTTGTCACCACACACTGACACTTGTACTACACGGATTTTCATGTCACTGCTGTTGCTCAGAGTGCTTTTGGATTCCTCACTGGGGGAAAAACGTATTTCTAATACAGAGCTTCAGCAATCATGTGCTCGGATTAATCTGTCATCACGGCGCTGACACTCGGCAGCAAAAGTTTAGAAACTCCGTTTTCCTGGCTCCTGAACAACCTTTGGCTAATGGAAGGAAGGCAGGTAAGGTGAGGCCCCTGGGTTATATATTTCTAAGGAAAAAAAAATGTAGGTTTATCAGATAAACATAAATCAGAGAAAGTTGAAATTATTTTGAGAGAAATATGTTTTGGAAAGTTTTTGTAAGAACAGCATAGAGAGGTCTGTCATCAGCAAGGTGTAAGTCATTCATAATTAGGATTTTCTGAGCGATGACTCACGTCTCCTGGATAGACGAACACAAAAGCAATTAGTAGGGTGTGAATTATTTGGTTTCTAAATGGCCTGACACTTACGACAACCAAATTTAGATTTTTATCTGTCCAGTGCTGATTCAATTAACATTTTTTTCTTAGAATCAGTGAGAAACTTAAAAAAAAAAAAAAAGAAACAACTTAAACTTAAAAATTCTTGTTTTACATCCTACTCAAAGAATCAGAACATGAAGGAAAGATGTGGTTCTGGGGCAGGCAAAGGGTTCTGTCTGATGCCCAGCACCAGTGGAAAAAGCCGAGTTTGGTGGTATAGGAGTTGGAGAGAAATAGAAGAGGATCCTTGGAACTGATGGACCAGTCAGTCTAGCCAAATAGGGGAACTCTGGGCTCAGTGAGAGAAAAAAATCAGGTGGAGAGAAATAGAGGAAGACTCCTGACATTGACCTCTGGTCTCTACGTGTCTGTATGTGCACAAGGATCCTCATTCATGTGCACCTGCTCACACATAACGAATACAACACAGACAGACAGACAGACAGACAGACAGACAGACAGACAGACAGACAGACAGACAGACACACACACACACACACACACACACACACACACACACGGTTCAGATAAGAAGCCACCAAACGAGGTATTTGGTCTGAGTGAGCACATCCAGTAATAATGCTGCACTTCCCATCCCTTTGCACTGTGCCCGTACGAAGCAGAGTCCTGGTGAGTTATTTGCTCTGAATTCTGCAGAGATCACTCCCCACACTCAAGGTTGTCTCATTTCCTCACTCGAGCAAAATTTATAACCTGAATGCACACACTGACATAAGCATAGAGAACTGAGGACCACGAAGAGATTAAGAAATTAATCACATCCCCGTCCGTGGTTCGGTCCCTTTGATTTATCTGAGAGTTTACCTGCGACAGGGCGTATGACAGACAGCATGCTGTTTAGAAGTAATGTCTTCAGAATGCAAATGAGCAGGATCCCAATACAGACCCTATATACTTGCGTTTGGGTGACCTTGTGCTGTTCAATTGTTCCTCACTTGATTACTTCACAAAGCTCTTGTGTGGATGAAACAAGCACATGGCTTAACAGATCTTAAACTTGTTGAATTTGTCTTTTGTGTTTTGTTACCGAGTCCCGGGTACCCAGCAAACTGTGTGGTGTATCATGGCTGCTTAATGAATGTCTGGTGAATCCCCCTTGCATGCAAGGTTTTTCATGGTCCCCACTATATAGTAAGCAACTATGATAGAGACAATTGTCACATTTAGGACCTTTGAGAATATCTTTAATGATTTCCCAATGCTTTTGGAATAACTCTCAAATTCCCATGAGGCCTTTCATGATCTGAGTAGTTTCTGTGATTATATTTCTATCTTGAGTTAATCTAGTTTGGTTTTCTCCCTCCCTCCCTCCCTCTCTCTCTCTGTCCCCTCCATCTCCTAATTGCATTGCTTTTTTATATTGTCTCAAGTAAGTGGAACTGCCTCCGACATTGAAGCCTTTGAATTGCTGTGTTTTCCCATTCTACATCATTTCCCATTCAATCTCCTAGTTCTTCTACTTAGGAATTCTTTCACAAGAGATACTTGGTCAAAGGGCCACAAACCTTCCATGAGTTGTACACTAGCCTACTCCATGGCAAGCTGGAACAGGAGGTCATGATTAACTTCTTGTACACTCAGCTAGTTCGCATGGATTGGCATAGTTGAAAGTTTTCTTGTGTCCTGGCTGGCTAGCAGTCAGGACAAATCTCTCCCACTCGTGTCCCGAAGTAAGCACGCAGAGGCTTATATTAATTATAACTGCCTGGCTATTAGCTCAGGCTTATTACTGACTAGCTCTTATACTTAAATTAACCCATAATTCTTATATATCTTTAGCTACGTGGTTTGGTACCTTTTCTCAGTTCTGCCTTGACATCTTGCTTCCTCTGTGTCTGGCTGGCAATTCCTGACTCAGTTTTCCTCTTCCCAGAATTCTACTCGTCTCTTGTCCTGCCTGTACTTCCTGCCTAGCTACTGGCCAATCAGCATTTTATTTATCAACCAATCAGAGCAACACATATTCACAGCATAAAGAATGACATTCCACAGCAAATTGAGACCTGGCTGGTGACTTTTCTGATCCTTTTCAGACCTTCTTCATTCCCACCCCTCCCATCTTCATCTATAGGTACATAATTATAATTCCTAGAATAAATCACGTTTCATATAATACCACACATATTCTTGTTTCTCTGATTAAACAGTGATTGCTAAAGTTGCTAGAAATAAGAAGTGTAAGGACTCTCAGAGTATCAGAACCATAAAGATGAGTGAGTATGTGGGGCTCATTCTCATCCTGGAATTAAGGCTTAAATGTTCCTTCCTGTGGCCAGGGACACCAGTAATAACCAGAAAGTTATTTTAATGATCATCTGGGGCCATTGTAATCAAGTACCTAACAGAGAAAAGGATTTTTAAAGAATTTAAGACCATTCATAATGCATTTTAATAAAAATATGGTTTAGAATGAAATTAATTTCTGGCTTATAACTGTACAAGAAAATGTGTGTGTGTGTGGGGGGGGTAGTGGTGTTGAGATTCTAAATTACCAAGTAAGCATACTGGATCAAGGTAATAGGAAGCAATGTTTGATCCAGGGGAAGGTGGGAAGAAGGTATGTTTGATTGTACTGAAATTTGTTGATAAAGGAACATAGTGTTCTGGGTTCATGTGCCTATGAATAGCAGAGAGGAAAACTGACTGGCTGTGGTTGGTTAACTGAAGAAGACTGGACTCAAAGATCTCCTACACCAAATCAACTCAAAATTCCACCACTTTCTTTTTTAAAAAAATAAAATTCAGTGTGTGTGTGTGTGTGTGTGTGTGTGTGTGTGTGTGTGTGTGTGTTTACCTGCAGAGGCCAGAAGAGGTCACTGGATCCCTGAGAGCCAGAGCTGCAGAGTTTGTGGCCCACCTGACATGGGTGCTGGTAAGCAAATGCTGGTCTTCTACAAGAGCAAATGCTCTTAACCACTAAGCCATCTCTCCAAGCCCACCAGAGGTTTCTTAATGTCCTATAGGTGAAAGTGTCTAAAGGCACAGGGAATGCTAGAATGCTGGAGACATTTGTTATCTAAGGTCTTCTTGTTCATCTCTTCATCTTGAGAAAATCCGGAAGTCACTCCCTTCACTGGGGTGGTGCAAAACTGAAATAAATATATTAATGAGCCTCCTCAAGGCCAGTGGTGAGAACCATATATGATTTGGAGACGATCCTAAAGGTTCATGTGTTAGAATCTTGGTCCAACATGTGATGGTGATACCAAGAGCAGACGGGACATTTAAGAAGATGAGAACCAGGAAAGTCTTGTCTCCCCTTTGCCTTGTTTTCCCCCCTGGTCATATAACCACTCGCTCCAGTGTGCTGCCATCCACCATTAAACCCTCACCAGAATGGGTATGATGCAGTTTTGTATTTTTAGGCTCTGAAATTATAAGCTGAAAAAGCCTCTTTTCTTCACAAAGTATTTGTCCTCAATGTTTCCCCATCGAGCTGGAAAACTGACAGTTAACAAGTAGAAGCAAACAGGAAAGAAACTCCTCCCTAAAAGTGAACTGCTGGGATCCAGTGGTAATGATGGGAACGTCAGGATGTTACTAGCTGAGCCACAGCACACGGTGATTACAATGTGTGGATATGATGATCGTATCAGGTCGCAGAGCCAGGGCACTCATTAAGATAACTTGACCAACAGAGCTACTGACCTTGGGT